TTCAAACTGACCATCCTAATACCATAACCTAAACAAAACTTACCTTGAGCTAACTATTCTGTTTTCTTCTACTGTTATAACATGTATAAGCCACGTACAATTAGCATTATGATGGTAACTTCTAGGATGTATTGGTGTTTGGATGCCCTATAGCCTGCGCAGAACCCTTTGCCTGAGACAGTACCATCATTTTTAAACTGTACAAAAAGAGCATATTTTCCACTAACTGCTTGTGGAACAGTATTTAAACAGAACTTTCCTAGTTATGCATCAGCCGTATTATTCCCTTCATAAATTGTCAGGGCATCATATGGACAACCAGTTGGTCATGAAATAAACCACATTATTTTAGCATCAGAACCATAATAAACAATAGCACTTATTTATCAAAACTGACAAACTTGAATGTTTGACCTGCTACACAACAATATTTGAATGTTAGAATACAATGTAATGAATGTTAAATATATGATGAAAATAACACTTCATAAAGTTGGAGCCGCTGAAGTGCTTTCCTGGATTCACCTTTTTTTCAAATGCTTTAAACCAAACATCTGAAGTCTGAGTATGTTTAAATATGATCTTATCATAATATACATTATCATTATGATAATTATTATTATGAAACAATGGTTATGATCAAATGACACCTGTAGGATAGATAGGTATGACATTCTTAATAAAATTTGATATGTATAACTACCATAACTACTATTCACAATAAACAGACCTCATTTAACAAATTTGACCTAGTAAAAAAATCATGAAAAGTTGGATATCAGTGTTGGCTACATCCATACAAACTTTGGTTGACCAACAAGAAAGAAGAATACAATTTAAAGGTATCTAAAATTTTAAATGTCACCATTGCATACAGTCACTGACATGATTTTAGCAGCTTACATCATGGAATTTTTTATATCACCTGGGCCCGTATGCATAAAGCTACTTAAGTTAAGATTTGTTCCGAACAGACGGATTTTTCTACATGTCCTACGGTAAATTAGTATTACGATTGGATATCTTAACTTAAGTAGCTTTATGCATACGGGTCCTGGTTATCAAATGGCCTGGAAGTCTATCCAATATATTACTTGTGTTCATATTTATTGTAGTCATCTATTACTTATCATGTCTATGATAATTATTATTTACATAATAACAGCGACTTTACAAAGTCTTATCATTCTTTATGAACAAGAATTTCAATATTTTCCTTAACAACAAGAACTCAAGAACTCCATAAAACATTTTTTCAGTAAAGTACACATACTTTTCCTATTGATTCATATCTAGTTTTTTATTAATACTACTACTGTGAAATTTTGTTCATATCAAATCACTTTAACAAATTAATTAAGACTATTTAATTTGGAAATATAAATATGTCTAAAGGAAACAATTTTTTAAAAAGTTCTTCATATCAACCAGTATTTGAGATAATTTGCTCTCTACATTTTGAAGGATCTGAAAGGTTTCATTTACTTAATATATATATATCGGGTATATTAAAAGTATTAGAAGACAATTACCATTTAAATGGTACACTTTATATCAGTTTTGACATTTATTGCACAAATGCTGTTAATTCAGAAATTATAGTGTGCATTTATTATTGCGAATTTTAAAGAATAGACAAAAATGCAAGATTAATTATTGTGAGTCCAGGAAAATCTACATAACAGATATCAGAATACAAGTTCTTATTATTGCGATACTCAATCAATCGCATTATTCGCATTAAATAAAAACTTGAAATAATTTTTGAATTTACAGTACTTCAATTATGAACCTTTTTCTTTTTATGTTCATGATATACCTGGTAACTTATTAAAACATTACCTTCTATATCAAATATTCTGTTGAACTGTAGTACTATCAACCTTTCAGGATTAGAGACTATGGTAAAGTTACAGATTAAGTTTGGTCCGTAAATAAGGCAACAGTAGTATACCGCTGTTCAAAAGTCATAAATCGATTGAGAGAAAACAAATCCGAGAGAAAACGCCAACATACATAGAAACGGACTATTTGATAACAACTGCCATATTCCTGACTTGGTACAGGACATTTTGAGAAACATGGTGGGTTGAAACTGGTTTTATGGCTAGCCAAACCTCCCGCTTATATGGCAATGTTAAAAAATATCGCTAAAATGACAACACTACATGACGAATACAATACACACAAACGCAAGAACACTCAGCACAGAGAAACGCATAAATAAATTATATTATAGTACATTAGTAACATGTAAACCGCAGAATAACAACGAACATCTTCCATTAACGACAGCACAGGACTCCACAAACAGTGACGTATTTTTTGTGACGTATATATTGTTAGATATCCAGTGGGGACAATAACGCCATTACCGTCCATAAATACAGCGCCATAACCTGTTGAGACCAAATTTAACTCAGCTTATAATTTTCATGATAAAATAGTGCTTCACATAGAAGGTTCATAAGGAATCTCTTTGATTGAAAAACAACAACCATCACAAAAAAGTTTAGGTGTTCTAAAGTGTCCCAATACTACTCAACATCCATGACTGCTAGTGCTTTCAATAACAAGTAAAATTGAGAATGGAAATGGGGAATGTGTCAAAAAGAATAAGAAGGTTACAACAATAAGAAGGTTACAACAATGCAATGGAATATTTAAAACACAAAAAAGATTATTTAATTTCCTGGCTCAAGCATTTAAATGTAATCACAAGAATTGAATACATCTTTTTTGAGGTTTATAGGATTGAACATTATTAAATATTGAAGAAGCACATATTAGACTTTGGATTATAGTATCATCAAATCATATGCTTTAAAATATGTACCTAAATATTCAAGTGTTATTACTTAAGTATTTACTTAACTTTTTTTATTGGGAATATCTGTAACTTTTTAACAGGAAAAAGGCATGTAATGAAATAAATTCTGAGTATCATGTATTTTCATTTGAACCCTAAATATACTACCAACCTACAGTCCATCTAGCAGCACATCCATTACCATTTGTATTCCTATCTGATATGAACCTTACAACAATACGATTACCACTTGACATCTGCTCCGGTGGCGTTAAATCATGACACCATCTACCACGTGGTACTAATGTGTTGTTTGGTAGCGAATCATCAATCTATAAATATATAAAATTACAAAATTCATTTTAAGCACATTTGAAATTGATCAAAGCATGTAATAAAAACGTGACCTATTGTCATACTTATCAATAACCACTTTGTATGATTTAACCTCTGACCTAACAACTGACCAAAAAGGTCACGCTCCTTTTAGTATAAAGTATTGTACAAAATACAGGTAGGATTGAATGAATGACTAATAAATGAACTATATCCCCAACGTTGAACATATTTTATTCAAGGGCAATTACTGAAAAAAATTTCTTTTTTGTTCTTTAAAAGTTTATATTAAATTCCTAAGAGAAAGGAAGGCGTGAGGGCAATTAAAATGCATTTTTTCATATAATAGGTATTTCCAAGGGCATCCACGCAAGCAACTTTTAAAAAACAAATGAAGAAGTTATTTATTGCCGTTACATTTTTTATATTTATCAGAATTACATTCGATTCGATGAACGAGAAGTTCAGTTAATACCAGAATTATGACAAATTGCCTTTTTCTCAATTTAATGTAAATCACTTTGGAAGAATAAAGTGAAATTTAAATTCGTCTCTATAAAACTTAATCATGTTAATACTGTAAAAAGATATCTGAAGAATGAACAGGGTTCAAAAAGAATAATTATTGTTCACACATACTTGGATGTAATTTATGAGTGGAATTCATCAAAGATAACATTAAAATTATGTAAATATATGTAAAAGCATTTTGTTGTAAGCAATCTCCTCTGAAACCTCCTTTTCATAATAAATACAACCCACACATTTAATGCTGGATATTAAGGACTAAACGCTACATTGTGCGACTCTTCTGGTTTCTCTGTCTCACACATTTTTGTGTACCTGGGTATTTGTCGTCAATCTTTGTTTATTTGGTCTGGAACTTGATAATGTTAAGTTGTAGCTTGATAGCAATTTTTTACACAGGTTTGCTGATACTTATAAACACCTATTCCACAAGGAATTGTCCTTTGAGGAGGAGAAATTAATTATCTGTTTGGACCTAAACTTGTTTGCAGTTAATGAAATCCTATGTCATATTTTCAACAACTGTATATGCGGGCTAAACTTATCTAAGGAAGAAAAGCCATTCCGAGTTAATTTGTAATAATTGTTGCTCTTGTAATAAATGAGGCAAGCATTCTCCAATTCAAAAATAAATCACAGACAAGTAAACCGATGCAGGGTGAAGCTACCGGGCTTAAATTTTGCATCTTTTGTACTAAAAAAGCACAACAGTTGTCGAAATAAAGTTTTCCATCTTAACATTAGCATTAAACAAGTTTTCGTTTTTGGCTATAAATGATAGATAAAAGCCAATTCAAGCTTTGTATATGCACATCATTTCGGGGAGGGAAAAAGACCGACATAGTCTAAACCCATGTGTTGTTTCGAAAAAGTCGTTTAATACGATATAATAGTATCTTTGTCGTATATATCTCATTTTGGTATCGTTGCAGAAATCTGTAGACGTTTAATATGTCTTGTCTGTGAAGCTTCGTCATTTTTAAGTTATTCAACACCTTCTGGTTTGATAGATGTTTTTATCTTACTCTAAGTTTATCCTTCCAATTGTCAGTTAAACAGGAAAACACAATATAAATTAACTAATTTTTACTAAAAATAAAAGTAGGAGATGTGGTATGATTGCCAATGAGACAAATATCTACCAAAGTTCAAATGAAGTGGATGTAAGCAAATATATCCGACTTAAGTATGGATTGCAGTCATAGCTGCTACTCTTGAAAGATATGAACAGAGTATAGATTTATATATCATGACTTCAAAGTATAATGTACAATTTTGTTGTACGATATAGTAAATAACCCCTAGGATACCTCCAAATTAAGGTATATAAACATTTACAATATACATCTACGTATTATTATTTGTTATACGTATGCAGATAAATGATGTTCCGACTGAATGTGTTTGTAGGAATTTTTCTTTTAACCTTCTATGTGTGTATTGCTATTCCAAGTAAGTACTTCATACGTTAAAGGAACTTGTTATATCAGATTAAGTTTAAAGGTGAAACGCGCGTCTGATTTACGAAAGTACAAGACTGGTATTTTTGGTGAGTTTTATTCTTTAACTACAGAGAAAGACAATGTTTTCCAAACGAGTGTGAATGTATTTATTTTCTTAAAATACGGATTTTTCATTTAAGTATTTTCCTCTTACGTTTGTAATGAAAAATTTAGATTGAATCATATCATATTGTTATTTGTTATATAAAACATATATAGTTGATTTGTATACAACATGTTAAAGGTCCTCAGTTTTCAGCAAACACAATTGCGTTTTGTAAATATTAAAAACAGTTAACGGATGTACCAAGTAAGTAAAAAATAACACATTACGTAATAATGTGTTGTTTTTTATAATTATATCTTCTAGGTGATAAATTCATCTAAACATGGGCCTAATTGTCATATCTTATTCATATCATTATATTACATCTGTAATGTTTGCTTTCGGTTTGAAAAAAATAACTTTTTAACAATGTCTGTTATCAAAATTCGAGTATTGACTAGTGTTAGTGTATGCTTGCTATTTCATGAGACTCGAATGAGTTATGTTTAGTTATTTACAACATTTAAGAATAAAGAGAACATACGGACAAAACTAACACAATTGAAAACATCTAATACATAGGAGAAATTGGCTAAGTTTATTATCAAAAGAGAACACAGTACCCAACACAAAATAAACTTAAAATATGAAATTAAAACTTCTTTTGTTTATCCGGTGATTGGTCATTTCAATTATTATCCCGGATTAGAAGATATCTTCTCATGAACTATTAAATTCAAATTCAAATAACACAATGTATAACATTCGTAAAAATATTATCTATATCAAATAATTTAATTGACTTAATTTTGCATTGTCAGCCACGGATGAAGGTTGTGCTGCTATAAAGGGGAGATGTCAAAATGTACGGACCGTACCTTGCACTGGTGGTGATAAATTCTATGAGCTGTTATGTGCAGGAACTGATCAACTTTGCTGTGCCAGGAAAACTGATAGTAATTATAATTTACTTTCATTCTTTCTTGAACCTTCATATCCTTAACAAACTGTACGTTCGAACATATTATGTTTACATAAAATCGTTCAAATTTGCTTTAAAACAAGCATAAAATGTTGTTGTTTGGCGATATTACTATAAACCCGTTGAAGTCTAAAATGGGCAGTATTGTACAGTAACTATACTGATTTTTACTCGACCATTCTGAATAGGTCTGAACATAACTTGATATTACGAAACAGTATTCTGAACCATACAAAACATTATGAACTTATTCAAACTTAATAAAACTTGAGGGGTTTTGCTCCGTGTTGGGGACCTCATTGTGGCTTTGTGGTGGGGAGCGGCATTTGGGAGCACTGTTCCTTTGCGTTTTGCTTGTTTTTTTCTGTGCATGTACTGATTTTGTGTCGTGGATGGATACCACACATCCTTTGTTTTTCTTTCATATTTTACCTTTACTTCACCAGTTCATATCCATATAATAAAGAAGGAACCATAGTTAATTTAAGTCTGAACCAATCTCGACTCAAGTCTGAACCTTTCTTAACTTTTACTTTTTGCAATCCATGTTTAACATCTTTGGAATATATTAACTTGCTTGTGACAACTTTCCCTTCTATATACTTAGCTTGTTGACTGAACGCCCCTAATATCCTTATATTACTTAAGCCACCAGGATTCTATAGATCTGGCAGCAGATGTTAGGCATTTATTAAATTTAGAAATAATATGTTGCGGATTGAACTACACATTTCTACCTGCAGGACTAAATTACAAATTCCCATCATGGTGACTATGTAATTCAATGCACAAGTGGACATCGATGCTTCAAATTTGTACTTCAAAGGTACATCCTTGTTGTTACAGGTGATCTTTAGAATGGAAAAATTAAAATTACAGGAAGTTGAAAATTATAAAATATTATTGACAAATAAATTCTATATTTTGTAAATAACCATATAAAGAAGTATAAATATTAAAATTATTATTAGTATCAAAATAATTAAATGATATGTCTATGTAATTATTATTTCCAATAGATGTACGAGTTGAGACCAAAACAAAAATAAGTTGTTAAAAAAAAGCTGAAACACGTAGGATAGTTGTATTTACCAGTAGGTTTCAAAACATTCTTTTACCAACTTTATTGTTATATACTACTATTAATATTCCATAATGAAAATTTGTGTAAAATACTAAGTAAAAGTGTCTTTTTTTCTTGTGTTGTTGGGTTTTTATAGCAGTGACCTATGCCCTAAATATTATCAAATGTCTATACCTGGTCAGAGACTGGTTTTCTCAATTTCTAATGTTTTCATGTTAATGCAAACTTGTTTTATCTCTAATTTAGTGGTTAATATTATTTATTGGACTTCATCTGTTCAGGAATTGTTTTGAATAAAGTAGATCAAACTTAACCTTATACTTTTAATTTTATTTCAGCTGATTTGAATTTGTTTGTCTTCTGTAAAATCAGCACATGTTACCTTTAATTTGTGACTTTATTCGTGTCATTTTTAGCATAAATGATTAACTGCATGGTTAAATATTCATATAATGAATATGCAATGCTGTTTAAATGTAAATGAATATATCCATATTAAAGTCGACTGTAATACGAAATAGACAAAGCATAGGGAAGTACTAAATTGTTAAATAAAGTATTGTAAGTGACATATTCAAGATTGAGAAAATAGAAATAAACAGCTGGTTGATTATGATTAAGAATTGATTTTGGTATGGTTAAGACTTTTTGTCGACTATGGGTGGAGGATGGTTTTTACTGTTTGGTCTGTTTTCTGTGATATCCATTTGACGTGGCTCGATCGGTACTAATACATCCCGTCAATGTGTTTGTATTATCTTTCATTTTTGTTGGTGTGTTTTGTACGTGTGACTTTATGTATTTCTTTGGTACATATGACGTGGCTCTGTACTTTTAAAGATCCCACCATTTTGTTATTGTTCTATTATAATACCATTATGTTATTGTTCTATTATAATTTTAAAAATACTTTGAACGACAAAATTATTTTACTCGCGCAGTGTATTAACCATATGTGGATTCTTAAAAATTCAAAAGAACTTCTTGATAATTTTAAATCGCGGTCTTTTTCTGAAATTAGTTCTAACAAAAACTTTTCAACCCCGTATACCACCATTCCCCATGTGAAATTATAATTTTTGAAAATACTTTGAACGACAAAATTATTTTATATTTCTTCCTGTGTGACGTTTACATTTTCTGGCGTCAAACACGCGACTCTACACTAAGAGTAGATGTGAATGCAGTCACAGGACTTTAAATATCTCAGTCCTTTATGGGTTGATTTATAATACATTTATAAGTAAGCAATGAATGTGGTTGTTAAATTTGATAGATGCTTTTTATGCTTCTTTGTTAAATGTTTGTTTGTTTTGAGATTGTGACACAGTGATGACTGCTGTACCCATATTTTGACAATGTTACCTATTATGTCTGTTGTCGTTTGATGTGTTTTATCATTTGATTTTGCCATTTGATTAGGGACTCTCCGTTTTGCATTTTCCTCGGAGTTCAGTATTTTTGGGATTTTACTTTTTCAGACATTATAACTTGTTGATAACTGGTAAAAAAACAGTTCTTGATAGGGTTAAGAATTGGTCAGACTGCTCGAGAACTAGTTTTGACTTTTTAGAATGGTCAAGACTACATGTATAGTCGATTACAATTACAATTCCATTTTGAGTATTATAACACGTAAGATTGGTGTCACGTAATTTCAATTGAACATCAGGCTAATTCAGAACGGTCGAATTCAAATTATTACAGTCGAGTACAAATACTGCCGACGTCTATAGGTTTGTAAGGTATATTATGCAGTGGCACATTCTAGTAAGACATCAGGTCAGCCACCCTTATCAAATACACAAGTTGGCTTTCTCAGTTCCAAGATGACATTTATCTGTGTTGGAATTGAGAAATGTCAAGAGAAATTTCCAATTGGAAGTAGGAAATGTTATAATGAAAAGAGAAATTTTAAAAATAGAATGTGCCTAACAGTCTTTCGTATATATAAATGAAGAATTGTGTGATAATTATCTGAAGATGTCAAGATGTGATTAGTATAATACCATTTATTAAAAACATCAGCAGTAACCATTTTATTGCACCAGAAGCGCATTTCGACAATTAATGTTATACTCGAGTCAAAATATTTGAAAACCCAAAACCAGACACAAATGTTGAGAGCTGATAAAACAAAAAAAGAACAAAATGTACATCCAAATCTGAACAAGGAATAAGAGATGTGCAGTATGGAGATAATTGGTTAATTCATACTGATTTCCAAATATTTTTAACAGCAAATTTCAATTAATTTCAAAATATCCGTATTTTCATGCAAGTTCTTCGGTAACAGGGTTGGTTATACCCTCAGGGACTGACAGTTCACTACCAGAGTTATTGACTCATGGCCAGAAGTAGTAACAACATTAATAGTACACATTGTGCAGCACCACATGCGCACTAAGTAAAAATATCAACCTTAACATCATCTCATTCTTCCGCTAACATAGTGTGTTGTGTAGTAAAGGATCAAACTTTACAACTCAAATTATAAGGGATATGACCCCCACCCCATTGTCCTAGATTTTTTTGTCTGCAATTTTATATTGATGTATTATTTTTCAGATCACGTAATTTTAATAATTAATATATATACTAGTTTGTGATTTATTATTTTCAGAAGAGAAAGACTGCCGGGCCAAAGGAGGATCTTGTGATTACCACTGCGTAGGATCTAAACCATTCGCAAATATTTGTGAAGGTCACATGTCTTGCTGCATAGCATTCAATTAGCAGCAGTTATTACAAATTGATAAAACGAAATAAACTATCATTCATATGAAGAATATAAATATGACTTAAAATAAAATAATGCAACAAAAGTAACAACTGTTACAAATTACTTGATATTTCTGTCTTTTGTTAGTCAGGTTTGTCCTTCATTTCAGTTTAGTATGTATTTCTCTCTCTATGCAAATAATAATGTGGTGCAGAGAGGATAGTGAGTAAACGAGAGGGAAAAAGAGAAGATAGCGTCGGACATGAATTCACATCTGTTGTTGCATAGCACAGGGTAGACGCTGATTGAACCTTAAACTTTGAAAGGGGAATATTGCCGAGTGCACTCGAATTTATGTCGACGATAGTGCCAATGATGCTTCCGCCACATCCGTAAGAGTCCTGGTACGATCGGACGGATGTTAATAATTTTGTGCAAGTTGGTTTGAGTTGACTAATTAAAGAACATCATCCAAGAGCAGACACTTAAGGATTATCCCGCCTATAAAAGCCAAAACATCAAACAGGTGTATATAAGAAAAGAATTCTTCTGTGACATGATATGACACATAGGAAACGTTTTTATGTTCATTGAAACCACAACAGTAGGGATACATTGGCACACTTCAATATTAATGATACTTTTTATTATCATTAATCATCAATTCATCGAAAACAAACTGATCCTTATATAAATGATTAATATCCTTTATAATATCAAATAGCGAATTTAATTGGGAATCCTTTATAGTTTGGTGTGAAGGTCGGTGTCGATAATCAAGTTTCTTCCATGGAAAAACAATCTAGAGTGTTAAGGTGAAAAACATTACAAACAGGATATAAAACAACTTATAAGCAGGCTATATTAATAGACATTGATAAATGTAGTATTTTGTCACGTGAACTCGCATTCCAATCTATCCAAATTGTAAATCATTAAACAGAGAAGTTTTTAGAATGAAACACAACATCATGTTTTCATATGCAGAAGTCCCAAAAAGGAACAATTGTACACACTACACGAAATTGTTAATTTAATATATTTAACATAAAACTGTAACACATGCACGTTTTAATAACAGGAAGTTGCATTGTCAAAGATGTATTGAGCAGTAGCGTATAATGCAAAACGTGTTTCTTTAGAAAACAAACATTTAGTCGATTAAAATATCATAATAGTATAACTAATATATTATTAACATTATTGATCAAATTGGAAAACAGAAAACTATCCAGGGTTACATATTTAGCTAGTAAGGTTGATTAAAAAATAGTTTAGACTGAACCTCTGTCAATATAATCTAAATGTTGGGATATACAAAATGTGACAAAAAGGGAAATGAGTCTTTGTTTTCCTTACATAACCATGTCTTGTGAGTTTGTTAGAATTGGATATTCAGTTTTACAAAATAGTAAAATGCGGTCAAAATCACACATGATTCAATTGGAATGTACCGCGAATCCTGTTTAGTGTGAATTTAACTGGAATTTCTACATAGTTTGATAAAGTTCACTACGAGTTGAGGGGAGAACAAATTTGCAGGTTCAAATTGTTTTACCAGTGCTGATGGAATTTAAAAAAATGTTAACAGAAGATAACAATAGCCATTTTCCTGACTTAGTACAGGACATTTTAAGAAAAAATGGTGGGTTGAACCTGGTTTTGTGGCTAGCCAAACCTCCCGCTTTAATGGCAAAGTTAAATATAACACTAAAATGGCAACATAACATGACATGACTACAATACAAATAAATGGAAGAACATACAGGACAGAGAAACACACAAATAAAAAATACGATAGAACAATACGACAAGCTAATAGTTATTAAAGGTACCAGGCTTAATATTTAATACGCCAGACGCGTGTTTCGTCTAAACAAGACTCACCAGTGACGCTCAGGTCAAAATAGCAAAGAAAGCCAAACAAAGATGAAGAGCATTGATGACCCAAAATTTCAAAAAGTTCTGCCAAATATGGCTAAGGTTATCTACCTGGAGTAAGAAAATCCTTAGTATTGAAATAATTCATATTTTTGCAAACAGTAAATTTATAAAAATGACCATATAATAGATATACATGTTAACACCGAAGTGGTGACTAACTAAATAAAAACGAATACGTAAAACAACCTAGATCAGCACATAAAAATAGTAAAGCCGAACAACGCATTGTATGTTAACCGAATTGATCGACGCACAAAAGTGACGTCACAGATAAATTTCTAAACAATTCCAAAAAATAGGATAGAATTCAAGATTAGGTTTGTAATACTGACATTACATGTATTTAATAACAATAAAGATAACAATACTTATTAATATAAAATTGTTTTGATAATTAGATAATTAATTGTATTATGGATTCTAATCTTTAATTTCATAAAGATACCGCGGTCACAGTTAAATCTACTTCATGTCTCGACTTATATCTATAAGTTGACAACGAAGGTTCGTTGAGAACTAAACTTTACGAGATACAAGATGATTTTAACTTTCCGTGAAACTTACCATTACTAGTACTATGCAGCAACGTTTCTTTTTTAAGTTATGCTTTATCGATGATCAAGAAATCAAGTATCAATATAAATCACTTAAATTATTTTGATTTTATATTGTTTTGAATCTACCAGAAAATATACTGAAGATGATATTATCAAAATGCTGGACTTTTTGATCGACAATATATTTGTTGAGTTTGGAGGATTCATATTTCAACACAGTCGGTATTCCAATGGGTACTGATTGTGCACTCCTACTGGCCGATTTGTTTTTGTACTCGTATGAAGCAGAATTCATTCAGAACCTTCTAAAAGACAAAAAGAAAAAGCACCTTAAGAAATTCTTTAATTTTACTTTCCGATAAATTGATGATGTCCTATCATTGAATAACCCATATTTCAGCCAATACTTACATCTCATATATCCCAGTGAACTTGAAATTAAGGATACTACTGATAATCGAAGGACTGCTTCATACCTTGATCTTTTCCTCAATATTGACACAGATGGACGACTTCACACGAAAATCTATGATAAACGGGACGATTTCATTCCCATTTCTCAGCAGTAACATACCCTCTGCCCCTTCGTATGGTGTTTACATATCTCAGTTGATACATTATACTCGTGCATGTTCACACTATATGGACTTCATATACAGGAGTGTGCTCCTAACGCAGAAACTGCTCCAACAAAGTTATGAGGAGGACAGATTAAAAATGACACTCCGTACTCCGTAAATTTTACGGACACCATCACGAATTGGTTGATCCATACGATGTCTTTGTCCAAACTAACCAAGGACATTTTTACCACGTGTTAGATTGTGGTTCGACATTACGTCGTCTAATCTTTTAATTACCGAACGTGACTTATTCCCGATTGTGACTGTTTTGCTGAGTGTGAATTCGCATTGCTATAAGACGTGTCACGGTACTTTTCTATTCAAAATTCATGTATTAAGTTTTGATGTTATATTTGTTATTCTCATCGGATTTTGTCAAATGTCTTATCGTTTGTAGTTGTAAATCTTTTTTTTTTTCTGTTGTATTCGTGTGTTATGGTAAATATAATTAATCACTCAGTTCATTTATTAGATTTTAGTTTGGGTCAACTAAATTTATACGATATATTGGGTTTACAGTTTGATTTAGAAGAAGCACCGCCATAGCTAGATAATAGAATTTATTATCTAATTACTACCACAATTTTATATTAATTAGTATTGTAATTTTCATTGTTATTAATAAATGTTGTAGGAGTATTACAAACCTAATCTTGAATTCTATCCTACTTTGGGGAAATTTTTTGAAATTCAAATGTGACGTCACTTTGTGCGTGGATTTCTTTGGCTAACTCGGCTGTGAATTTTTATGTGCTGGTTTATGTTGTTTTATGTATCGGTTTTTATTCTGTAGTTAGTCACCACTTTGATGTTATCATGTATATCTATTATATAGTCATTTTTATAAATTTACTGTATGCAAAAGTATGAATTATTCTAAATACTAAGGATTTTCTTATCCCAGACATATAACCTTATCCGAATTTGGCACAACTTTTTGGAATTTTTGGTCCTCAATGCTCTTCAACTTTGTACTTGTTTTGGCTTTCGAACTTTTTTGATCTGAGCGTCACTGGTTAGTCTTGTGTGGACGAAACACGCGTCTTGCGTATTAAATGTTAAACCTGGAACTGTACCTTTTGTTAGCTATTATTCGTATGTTTCTCTGTCCTATATGTTCTCCCATGTATTTGTATTGTAGTCCTGTCATGTAATGTTGTCATTTTAATGTTATATTTAACATTGCCATAAAAGCCGGAGGTTTGGCTAGCCATAAAACCAGGTTCAACCCACCATTTTTTTCTTAAAATGTCCTGTACCAAGTCAGGAAAATGGCCATTGTTATATTATAGTTCGTTTCTGTGTGTGTTACATTTTAATGTTGTGTTTCTGTTGTGTCGTAGTTCTCTTATATTTGATGTGTTTTCCTCAGTTTTAGTTTGTAACCCGGATTTGTTGTTTTCTCAATCGATTTATGAATTTTGAACAGCGGTATACTATTGCTGCCTTTATTTAGCAACAATGTAAATAGAGTTCAGGTTACTCATTCAAAGACCTTATTTATAACACGTGTGTCTGAAAAAGATGGGGCATAAGCGTTCACAGGGTAATAACTTCTTAAAGGATTCTGTGATTGGAAATAATTTTCATTATTTATTAAAATTTAAGCAACAGTATTTATCGATGTTCAAATCTCATAAATCCATTAAGAAGATACATATCCCGGTAACAAATAAAAAATTAGGAATGACATGGACCCAAAAAGGTGCGAGACCTTGTGAGTCGACAGGATAAGTATCTCCTGCTAAGAAAGCTGCATCAGCCGCCTTGCGAATCCACTCATTCGAAATGTCAAAATTCGGAATCGGACACAATCGGTAGAATACATTTCGATTAATCATGTGATTAATACTGTTAAGAAATGCGGACCGAGAACACAAGCTTTAGTAACATTTATTTGTACAAAATTTTATTTATCTGAAAATTTTTCGTCAAGTTTCTATTATTAATATCTTATTTGAACGATTAACCAAAAGACGAGATGTGTCGGAACGACACGAATGA